GCCGAGGCGAACAGAAAGAACAAGGAGGATGAAGAGGCGAAGAACTGTAGACAGGGCACGTTTGTGAAAGATCCATTCAGGGTCATAAAAGAGTTGCTAGGCAAAGAACTATAATGTACAACGCGATGGTCGATCACGGAAGTAGATCATTATCCGAGGGAAACCCATTCTGACCCACAACGAAACTTAGATCTAGAACCTTATGTTGAAGTGGAACCAAGGGAAACAGAATTTGATAGCAAAGAACCATCTTGGAAGGAAATAACATCCATCGATAAGAAGGCTAGCTCTGGATCAGCCCCAGGACCCAACAGGGTTATGTACATAAAGCCCACAAAAAGCGCCCAAAGGTACTGCCGAAACTATATATGGAAATTGTGCAGAATCATGGGGAAAAGGGAAAAGTGCCAAACGTCTGGAAACAGACAGAGGGTTGCTTCGTGCCAAAAGAGATGAACTCCAGGATTATTGGGTAGTTCATAACAATGTCTCTACTCAACGTGGAGGGAAAGATCTTTTTATCACTGTTAGCAAAGAGGCTGTCGGACTACATAGTTAGAGACAAATACATCAACATATCTACCCAGAAGACAGAAATCCTAGGTTTCTCGGAATGTGTGGAAAAGTATGAATTCAGAAATATACCAATCGCCAATACGAGGCTTCATGGATGACCTCATAGTGACTACATCAACATGCATACAAAATAGATGGGTTTTAGTTTCACTGGAGGATACCGTAACTTGAAGTTTAAAAAATGAAATCAGATGAAGGGACGAATCAGTCATTTAAGGTGAAGGTCCAAGACAAAGACGAAAGTTGACAACCCCATAAAATACCCTGATCCATCACACAGGCACTTGGGGTATGGACCCCCCCCCCCTTTCCATTTTTTTTCTTTTAAAATCGGGGGTAGAGTCACCTTTTTCCTATTTTTGTATTCTAATACGCACTGTATGTTATCAATAATGTAACTCTTTTGTCTCTATAAGCTGTTTTTAAATATATTGTTTTCGACTGATACATAAAAAGAGAGAAGGCTTGCAACTCTTTTCTCATCGTCTGCCTCACCTCGCTTAAACTTCGCCTGATTATTTATCGAAAGAATAAGAAAACATGGAATATGCATACATCAATAAATTCGTTATACATTCTTCTTCCTTTTCATATTTCCATTTAATTTTTATGTGCCCCCGATTTTTAAATATTTCGATTAAATCACCTGCATCTAGGGTAAATTTTGTTGATGTGCACCAGCTGGGACGGAAGTGCCCGGTATTTACAAATCGGGGGCACATAAAAATTAAATGGAAATATGAAAAGGAAGAAGAATGTATAACGAATTTATTGATGTATGCATATTCCATGTTTTCTTATTCTTTCGATAAATAATCAGGCGAAGTTTAAGCGAGGTGAGGCAGATGATGAGAAAAGAGTTGCAAGCCTTCTCTCTTTTTATGTATCAGTCAAAAAAGATATATTTAAAAACAGCTTATAGAGACAAAAGAGTTACATTATTGATAACATACAGTGCATATTAGAATACAAAAATAGGAAAAAGGTGACTCTACCCCCGATTTAAAAAGAAAAAAATGGAAAAGGGGGGGGGGGGCATACCCCAAGTGCCTGTGATCCATCACTGGCAAATAGTAATCAGTCGAAGGAACTAAAACCTACTGTAACATCATTGCTGAAGAAAGTAAATAAGAACGGGAAAGTACAAAGCTTGGATTTACTAGCAATACCAACATGGAATCCTGCCGATATTGATGTGGTTTTGCTGATTTACGAGGTAGCGAGGACAGTTGTAGAGGGCTCGGAGAAGGCAGTCAACCGTTACGTACATGTAAGAAGATGGTTGGGAGTTCCATCAAGTTTTGCTTCAATTAAATTCTATAGCAAAACATCTCAGCTCCTATCTTTGATATTTGTTTGTTTGTTTATTGTTTAACGTCCCTCTCGAGAATTTTTCACTCATATGGAGACGCCACCACTTGCCGGTGGAGAGCTACAAACTTTGACCTATACTCGGCACTCAGGGCCATTGAGCAGTGAGGGATCTTTTTCGTACCAGCACCTACTGCGATACGGGACCTCGGTTTATACGGTCTCATCCGAAGGACCGGTCTCCACGTCCCACAGTGGGATTCGAACCCGCGACGTAAGGATCAACTCCTTACTCCGCGACTCTAGAGCGAACGCTCTAACCACTGCGCCACGCGGGCGACCCTATCTTCGATGATTGAAGAGTTCAAAGTGGCTAAATGCAGACTAGTGATGACTTTACGAGACTCATTAGATCAAAAAGGTCCGTGATGCTGGAGTAAGAAAAGGTCAGGACTCAAGTGGTAAGCAATTATCGCAGAAGACCAAGCGGAGAGCATACTAGGATTGCAGAACATTATAAGCAACACGTGCAAAGGCAGAAAAAGTCACATTTCCAGCAATGACAAGACCGAGTGGAGGAGCATGATTCAGGGTGAGGTGAGAAGAGAAGTTAATGAAGATGCCACAAGATCACGGGCAATTGAACTCAGGAAGCAGGGGGTTTGGATGAGATGGGAGCTTCCACAAGAAAACATGACATCGTCTGCCCTATGGAAAATGGACCAATTCAGTTTTTACTGCGATTGGTCTATGAGGAAAAGGACACAAAATAATTTTTTAGGATGAAAATTCCTCTAGGAAGTGGAAATGGTCTTTGAGTTTTATCGACCCACACTCTTTCGTGATTCAGGTGGTTAATTCAAAATTACTCGAGTTCTGTACATGTGTCATCAAAGTCGTACTTATATTACAGCCGCTGACATTTACTCCTCTCTTCTTATTCCAAAACATTGACCTCTTACTGTGCATTGAGTTTCTTTATGTCCGAGAAAATAGACAGTAGTTGTTTTCACAGGCACTTGGGGGCTGGACCCCCCTCCATTTTTCTCTTTCTTAATCCTGGGGTCGACACACCTTTTCCTATTTTTGTATTGTAATATGCACTATATGTTATCGATAATGTAACCCTTTTGTCTCAATAAGCTGTTTTTAAATATATCGTTTTCGACTGATACATAAAAAGAGAGTATCAGTCGAAAACGATATATTTAAAAACAGCTTATTGAGACAAAAGGGTTACAATATCGTTATCAGGTATTTGCATATTTGAGTACAAAAATAGGGAAAAGGTGTGTCGACTCCAGATTTAAAAAAGAAAAGAATGGAGAAGGGGGGGGTCCATCCCCAAGCGCCTTTGGTTGTTTTTAACAAGCAGCTACATGTAGGTGATTACTCGGACATAGAAAACAGCTAGGAGGACCATGGGCTAAAACATATCTCTTTCTCTGTCACATGAAAATGTGAATGAAACTTCTTAATCATTTTGTTTCTTTAGTTAAATTTAAAACATTTTTCAACATTTTTAATCTTACAGAATATCGATGTTTGAAAGTAAGATTGTTTTATTACTGTATTCTTAAGAAAATCTATTTTTTTTTTACAATGGGGTTAACATGGTGAAATAAATCCATGTACATCTTAGATAAAAGTTATTGCCCCAACATAGGCCTTCAGATGGCTTTAACCTGACTGACATACTTGGGATAAATAGATATATAAAGATTTTAATATACTGTAAATCACTTTTTATTCGCGAGAACTTTATATTCTTGTAATAACGCGTGTCTTTCTGCTTGCAAAAAATTCACCCTACGTTCATTTCATTGCATGTTTTTATTGTTAAGTATAATATACAAAAACCATCGTTCGTCAAAATTTTGTTTCGTTCATAAATACCAAATGACTATCTCGCGAAAATAAGATGTCGCTAAAATATATATAGTGATAAACATGCAGTATCCAGGATGTCAGTCAGATTTTGAAGGATGTGGGCCCATGGGACCTCCATGGTCCACTTGAACCTGACAGGAGGAAACGATTTAATCTATTCTATATAAATAAACTGACTTCCATATGAGTTTGGTCTGCTCTGGCCTTGTGTTCGTGAAAAATAGGGGTACTACAAACAAATAAATCGACAATATAGAGTAACTCGATCATAGAGTCCTTGATATTCGCAGTACTGTGAAGTGTGTGTGATCAAGGAAAGATATTTTTTGCAATTTTCCTAAGTAGAACTTAAAGAAGAAAACAATTATTTGATACCAATTAGTACAAATATCTTTTCTGCTTGAATATTCAGTAAGGCGTAACATTCTCGGCTATACATAATTAGCGTCTCTCAATTAGTGACCTAGATTCTCATTGGTTGCCATATTAGCTCATCAATACTGAAATTTACACAGCTTTTCATTCACGGGTGAAGTGCACATGGGATAAAAATGGTTCAGACGTCAACGAGTGACGGAAGGAACCAATTACATCGTTTCTTACAGTAAAGAGGTGTGGCTTATGTCATCTCATTGTTTGTTAACAACAATCTGAAGTTGCTAATGTTAATAATAATAATGTCTTAACCAATGAGAATCTAGGTCACCATTTGAGAGACGCTAATTAAGTATCGCCGAGATTGTCACGCCTTACTGAAAGTTTAAGCAGAAAAGAGATTTGTACTAATTTGCAATGGTAAAATAATTGTGTATTGTAAATGTTGAATTGTGTATTGCATAATTGTAAAAAAAAAATGCAATAGTAAATTGTATACTTAGTTTTTAGGGATTAAAATTATAAAGATCCCTGCGTGGTTTATCAGTATACTATTAACGATGAAACAAACTTCTTTATAAATAAAATTTATTATATTTCTCAAACTTAAATACTTTTACACAGTTCGCCAATTCTATGCAACATTTCTATGCAACTTGTGCCGTGACATATGGCAATTTAAAAATCTTTCAATTTATCACTAAAAATTTGCCAATGCACTTTGCCAAAACAGAAAGATAAATATACTATCCTTTGCCAACAATGTCAAGGAATGTAACATTATTTACTTAGCCCGTAAATTGACGTGAAATTGAAGTGTTTGATAATTACATTTTATCATGAAGTCTGGCCGACATTCTCTGCTCAAATCCGGGGGGAAATTCTTTTAAACCGCAAAATCTCCCCGTCACAAGATACAGACACACGAAGATTCACCTTTATAGCTTCTTCCTATCCTTGCTCGCAACAGCAAGATTTCACTCGTTCTTTGGCGATCTCTTATCTAAACAATCACACACATTTTGTAAACTACCGTTCAATTAACCCGACTCGGCTTGAACTGCTAGTAATTTATTACAGACGAGATTGGACGGTCAAATCCATATAATTTTTTTGACAAGTACAGGTGTAACAAACCTGAGAATCTTTTTGTGACACAGGCTGATTGATAAATTATACGTGGAATTTTTAAAAATATATATTTAGTTATGTAATGTGTGCGCTAGATTCGTTTTTGATGTTGACTCGAACAGGAAGTATGTCTCGATCCTGATATTTTTTTTATTGATCACGAAAGATGAAAGGACCTATTAACATCCTGGTATTGGGGAAGGAAGGCGTCGGCAAAACAGGTAAGTTCTGTAACTCATTTACATATACGACTTGGTGAATAGCGTCATCAAATTTAAAAATTTAAGACATAATTAAGTCGTAAGAATTGAGTCTATGTGAAAATTTCAATCAATAATAAGCTGTTATTTGTGTATAATATGGCTGGATTGTGTCTTCATTCACAATGATTTTCTTCTTCATTTTAACAGCCATTGCCAATATAACCCTTATTAATAATTGAAGTAAAAAAAATATTTTGAGAATAAGATTCACGATATGGTATTGATATGTACACTAGTAACAGTAGTTGAACTTGAACTTTGAACCCACTCAGTTCAGAGTCAATAAATGACATCACATACATTTCAATTACATTTTTTAAATTCTCATCATAAAAAATTCGTATGTTTTTCTTGGTGTTCTTCAGTTAAATACTCCACAAAATTCGCAACAAAACACTATGCATTCAATTAAATGTATAGATGAAAAAATATACTAATTGGTACAAGAAAAAGAAATATTTTCCACCCATCAACGAAGGCTAGGGCCGTCCTATCGTCTCGTTACAACATCAAATGCAAGCGAGCAACAACATTTTGACACTAATTAAGCATGTTAGGAAATGTTGTTCATTGAAAACTTTTAGACATTAATTAGATCATGATGAGTGACGATGAGACTCGATGTATTAATTGACAAAAAATTAAAGTAACGATTACCCATTTCTCTTGTCCTAAGGTATGGGGATACGTAACATTTCAGAAATGCATACAAAATCCATCATTTTCTAAGACTTGATGTGATTTTGGAAGAAATAATTACAAATATTCCCGATAGGTTTAAAGCAAGTTTGATTCTTATGTCGAATTCAAGAACTAAATCCATCGATCAGGAGAAAAAAAATCAAGATACAATCTGTGTAATGAACAATATTCTCTACTAATTGGCGACAGTGCGCCACCAGGGAGATCTAACTGGAACCTTAATACGGTAGATCTACTCTGCATTCTCTTACACATTGCTGGGGAGCTGAAGTTAAACCTAATACTCTACTAAAATAATCAAATCTCGCAGAAAGAAAATATTTAAAATCTATCAGACGAATTAGTCAGTACATGTGGAATCAGTGTGTAACCATAGTTAAAATCAAAAACAACCTTCAAGTTGAATTATTCTTATACCTAAAATGGTAAAACATCCAAATTCAGCTAATATATACAAATTGTGCCAATGGAAAAAAAACAACAACAAAAAAACGGCCGCTATATTTCACAAATAATAATGAAGAAAACTCCAAAATGAAAGATGACAATTAACAGTGAAATTTGAACCTGGGTATAATATTATTTGAATCAAATGTAACGGAAATCAACATATTTCACAGAAAGAGGATTATTGAAAAGTTTTACAGCATTTTTAAATAGCTATGATAAATAAAATCAATAGCATCACTGATATTATCGATTCATTAATTAACGTTCCGAATACTGTATACAGGGCTATTTTCGCACCGTGTTATTATCGGCCTCTCACACTTGCAAATAATATACCCCGTTTTAAATTCGCCCAATCACAGTTCTTTTTAAGAAATTGAACTGTGTTTTTTTTAATTCGCCCCTTTTTAAATTCACCCACCTGTGAGTAAGGCGAAAATAAAACGGGGACAAACATTTCCCTGTATACAGGCAACAGCTGTCGTAATAAAGGTAGACGTACATTAGGTCACAAAAAAATGGAAATTTGAAATACTATAAATTGTACTGAAATTTTTAATTTTATGGAACTGTAGAAAACAGGAAATGTTATAAATAGATATTATTCTTACTAAACAATACATTCATCTTAGATAATTATGATAATTTACGCAAGGGAACCATCAAAGGTTATAGGGTTAAAGGGCAATATAGAAATATAACGTAATTCACCATACTTTTTGTGACAAAGATATTTAGCATTTTCATTTGAGTCGCACTGTTCCAGTAACTGCCTTTGATACAGTGTTCTTCTATAATAAAAATTGATTACAGTAAATAAATCGCCAAGATTATATATGTCCAACAAAAATACCATTTTTCATTCATACCATTGGTTTTTACTGACACGTGTATATTTTCAGAGTTTGTCGGCACTTTTATGTTTTAAAATAACTTATAATGATTTTTTTTTTTTTTTTTTTTTTTTTTAAAATCTTTTTAAATGGCCCAGTAAACGAAGATTCGGGGGCATTTAGTTTTTGCTCTGTCTGTCTGTCTGTTTGTCCGCAAAAACTTTAACCTTGCCTTAACTTTTAATTGGTTAGAGCCAGGGCCTTCATATTTCACTTGCCTGTTCCATGTGACAAGACCTTTCTTTGGGTACCAACATATTTAACTTCCTGGCCTTGACCTTGGAGTTTGACCCACTTGCAAACTTGTATATTCCTTGTGATAAGACCTTCCTTTGGATACAAATACTCTTGACCTCTTACCTTGGAGTTTGTCTTACTTTTGAAAAACCTGAACATTGGCCTTATGATTTGAATGGTTGGAGCTAAAGCATGTGTATTTCTTGTGACAAGACCTTCTCTTGTTTGCAAATAATTGACTTTTGAGTTTGACATACTTAACATTACCCATGGCCATACATGTAACTTTTAACGGTCAATGCTAGGGCTTTCATATTTCACATGTTTATTCCTTGTGATGAGACCTCTTTTTGGGGGGATACCAACATTTTTTTATCTCTTCATCTTGGAGTTTGCCTTGCATTTGAGATACTTTAACTTTCGACATGAGCTACCATATGGGGGCATTAGAATTACACAAACATTTTTTGTAGTTTAACATACCTTTATTCTTTGAAAAAAAAATACGTGAGTCAATCACTTTAGAAATATAGTTTTTCGTTTGTGACAAGATAATTTCAGTTTGGCAAAGTTAAACTAAATTTGGACGTAAAACCAACTTTTCCCCTGAAATTTTTAGTGCAAACTCTCTCGGGACAAATCGTACTTATTTCTTAATTTTAAAAAAGCAGTTATCACTAGTAACGTATTATTGTCTCGAACAAGATTTGAACAGTACGTGTAAACAGAAATTTACTATTTTTAGAAATCAAAGGGCTTAATGTTATTTTTATTAGCATATTATCAAAGAAATATACATATATTTTGTGTGTGAAGTTGTCTTAGTTGTAAAGTCGATAAAAACACACAGGATTCAGATGTTAACACGTCAGATCTTTAACCGATCTGAAAATATTTCAAATAAAACTGCCAGGTTCTTATCATGATGAGTGTTTTATTGGACAAAAAATTTCGGCTTTATTGACTGAAATGTGAATATAGAAAGAGGAAACGATATCATCCAAACGAATTTGAAATAATCTGAGATTTTATGCACAGCTTTTAAATGTTTGTATACATCAGGTTTATTAACGTTTTAATTCCAGTGACGGATTAGGAGTACCCTACAACCCTACGCTCTAAAATCAAGAAAGTCGTGTAAAAAAATTGTGTCATTAAACTGATAACTACAGGTATTTTGAGTTTCTGTCGTCGTTTATTTTGCTCGCAAATTTGAAATCCTGGATCCGCCCCTCTGTATTTAACAGTTTGGAATTTAAAAAAAAATCCCCCTTTTGCACACATATCGGTAATATCAGTACTGAATTTCCCACACTTACATTTACCATGCACTCCAGATATAAAGTACCATATAAGGTGTAAATTAGATATGACACCTATATTTATGCCGCTATCACCATACTGGTACACTCTGTCTGTTCTTACACCACTTTCTGTCATCTATATTTACTATATTAGTAATTCCTAAATTGACAAGTTCTTAAATTCCATTTGGGTTCATTCTATGGTATATTTATGTAATTACAAGAAAATTAGAAATCCAATATTTATTAAGTTCTGTAAAGTTAGAATCACTTTAATATATTAATTTTGTTTCACTGCATTAACATAATATGCCTTTTTTAAAGCTAGGTAATTAAGATTAATTAAAGATAGAGATTTAATTTTAAAAATATCGATGTTTAGGAAAAATGATTTGATCTAGATGATTTACCAAAGTATATATACGTATATATGTATGCTTTCCACACTATTGTTATGATATTTATGTTAAATTTTGTCATTAGACGTAAGCACTGTCTTATTGTAGGACCGTAGAACGTATGCGCCGGGGGGTGGGGGGGGGGGGGGTCCGATATAGTATTCTGCTATAGTAAATTTTCAATTAGATGCTAATCCCCCCCCTTCCCCGTTTTTTGTTGTTGTTGTTACTGTAAGCTCGAGCACTGGTAAATTCCATGATTTGGGTAGTTATTTTGGAAGGTTGGCCCCTCCACTTTTGAAACCGTTGCTACGGGTCAGTATTGCTGTATAGTTGATTTATTATCATCTAATCTCGGCTTCTATTTCTTTGCGTTGCACTTTCCTGTTTTTATTGATGAAGAAAATTCTATGATTGGAATCGAGGTATATTTATAGTATAAAGGTAAAGGCTACTAATCACTTGGAGGTTTATTTCAATAATTCCAATTTTCTTCCTAGACATTCGCCTGTTTACAAAATCTTGTTTATTTAACGAAACCTGTTCTGATAAAAGTTGAGCCTCTGATAAGTTAATTGTAAATATTCCGATTAATGCTGTCAGCTTGAAATACAATGAACTTTTTGTTGAGTGAAGCTTCATTCTAAATTCTCTTTTATTCAGATAAGAAAGACATATTCAATATCCCAACGATAATTTTAGTCGGTAGGTAAAGAGAAACGTGAGAACATGATACACAAATTGAAATTTATTGTTGTTTTGATCCAGAGATGTATCCCGAGTAACCCTGAGAAGATTTCCTGTAAATATCTTACTGATATCTTGATAATTAAAAAGAGCCCAGTTGTGAGCTGTAATAATCGTTCACGATTCTGCCATCAGTGGGTATCACCTGTATATAAAAATAATGTTCTCATTGAAGTAGCAAATCCATATACCAAAGTATAAACATTTTTGTACATCTATTTTTTTGGAGAAAATCATTCGATATGTACATAGGACTGTTTTATATAGTTTTCATGGGGACCTTGTTTCATCTGAGATTTTTTTTTCACCCAGACTATTTATGAAGTAATTAGTGTAGCAGAAAATAACATGTGTTTTAAATTTTTCGCCGAGTGCCAATACATCTCCATCAGTCGTTATTTTCGGTAACTGATTGATGTTCTTAATATTTTCTCACAATCCTGACAAGAGGGAGTCATGAACTTTCATACTCTCTAGTTTTAATGGTCCCCTCGACTTTCAAGATGAAGAAGACGTTAAAAAATATTAGATATATTTATCAACTAAAAGAGTATTTTGCCGTAAAAGAAACGTGACATGCTTGTTTCGTATTGAAAAAAAGTATTTCAAATAGAATTTTTCTCGTGAATGAGGTAACATAAGGATTGAGCATTTCAACAGACTGAAATCAAATTAGAAAGAACATTAACTGATTTCTTCTTTTGAGAATAATTGAGAGGTTCTTTTGTTAATGCATTTTCATTCACTCCTGTTTTGAAGTTGGAATTTTATTTGTGTAGGAAACATTTGCTTTGTAATTAGAAACATCTAGAAGTGATATCTGATGAAAAAGCAATAAACATTTATCTAAACGGTGATGAATAGTACGTTAATTGTCAACATCTGCAGTAAAAACTAATATTATGTGCTATCCAAACATTTTCTATTTGTTTATTAGATGAAAACAAAAAATAAGAGAATCTAGTGCTCTGATTAAGAGTTTTGTCAATAAATTGTGTAAAGTTAATTGAAGTAAATGTTATTTCTTCAATCTTCTAAACATTTTTGTTAACATGTTTTTGTACAAACAGTTCCAGAGGTCATAAGGGAAAAAGAGAAAAAAAACCGAACTAACTTCAAGCCATCGTAAAAGTTTAAATGAATACTTTCAATAGCTTTGGCTTATCAATTTTTATTTTATTCATAACCTTTTCCTTATTTACTTATACTAATTCAGTAATTGATTATTTCAGCTATTGTGGTGCGCTTTTTGACTGGAAGATATCTAAGTGAATACGCATCTCTGGAGGAAGTGACGTATGAAAGAAATGTCACAGTTGATGAAAAGCAAGTGTCGATTAAAATAACAGACGTTGCAGGGAAGGTATGTTAAAAAAATATATAAATCAACAAATAATTTTTTTTCTTCAATACATAGAAAATAAAAAAAAAAATAGTGGCTATCATCTTATCTTAATTAATAAAAGTATTTTCTGTGGATAAAAACCAAAATTTTGTAACAGCAGTCAACTAATTTAGCGTAACGAATAATTATAACGCCAAAATATATCTTTAATCGCTAAGTAAAGTACATTTCAGACTGGAATCAGATCACTAGGAGATATAATCCACAGTATTTGAAATACTCTGCGTAAAGGATTTCATCTTTAAGACACAAATATCGTGTTTCGCGATTAAGCTGTCGGAAGCAAGTCTCTAACTGCAACCTTCTCACTGTACATATATTTGTGTTTACGTTTTATAATATTTATCTATAATTAAAAGCCAAGAATTTTTAAGCTGTAAAGATTTAGTGGAGATTCCTCTTGTTTATCCGATTTTTTAAAGCCTTTGATATAAAAATGTTTGCTCTTTTATTAAGAATAATAGTATTGGTGTCAAAATTTTTCACCTTTGTTTAAAAGAATGTCGATTCTTAATCTCTTTTGGCTTTGGCTTAGACTTCTTTTCACAGTGAAAAAGATAACTGACATATTAAGGGCATTTTCAAAGTATTAATTGTTACGTTTACAGAACCTGGACAGGAAGTCGACCTCAAGGGATTGGTTGCATAAAATAGATGGCGCTGTGATCGTTTACTCCGTGACAGACCGGAACAGTTATGACATAGCGGAAGTCGTCATGGATTGGCTGAGGAAAGAAAAGAAACCAAATCAGATTATTCCAATGGTCTTGTTAGGAAACAAATGTGATTTAGAACATTCCAGGTTCTTACAACTTTATGGAAGTCAGAGTCTAACCTTGAATTTGCAAAGAGTACTTGGATACAATTCCTTGAACTCGCATTCTAGCAGTGCTTTCTCCTGTGCTACATTGCATTCGAAACATTTTCCAAACATTTTGCTTAATTCTGCAGACGTTTGACAAATATTTATAATTTAGAAGTCATACATTATCGTGTTTATTTAGTCGTGAATATACGATGAATCAATTCAGAGGAACATATGCAACATCTTCAAATATCATTTACAGCAATTTAGAAACATACTCATCGTCTGGTTAAATAAACCTGATTGATCAATCTTAACATAAACATATTAACCTTACCACACAAGCAATTTCTTTAAAATGATATAGGTTATGACTTGCCCCCCCCCCCCCCCATCCCGACCTCCAGTCCATTGACAATAAATCCATTCTACATACTCCAAACTTATTTGAATTTAAGACTACCTGACATATGTGTATTATGACGTAACCCTACATGTGGCCAGGGCTCCCCTCTAACACTCTTCATGTTTTCCTTTTCAGAACTGTAACAAAACAACCAACAGAGGAGTTGGAATGGCGAACAGATGGATTAATGTTGACGGAATGTTCGGCCTCTGCTAATACGGAGAACATTAAATGCGTGTTTCACGAGCTCATTAGAAAGGTACTGTATCTCCTTCTATTCTTTCAGTGCTGTGTGTTAGCACAAAAATTATTGTACTCTAAGTTATTGGTACGGGTATTAGATCAGTAAAACACTTTAATTCACCTACAAGTTCGTTGTCCAAGGCTCGGATTTTTCATACGAGTTACCCTTCAAGTGTTTGAATAGGTTATAATAGTTCGAAACGCATACTTTCAGAATCTTGGACTAAATGATTGCGTTAGCAGCACTTCGTTTAAATTCTTATAATAAGTCTTATTTCCCTTGCAATATATTTTTTATCTGAGAATTTAAAGGTTTTCTTTTTTTGGTTGTTTGTCATGTATCATCGATACAAAACCTAATGAATTTACACATGTGACATTGACCTTTCACTGCTTTGAGTTATAATTCTTTGATCAAGGTTACTGGACATTCCTAAAGCAGGGAAATTAAATACGTAATGTATTACTCTTTGATGCACAGACTGCCTTATCACACAAGGTCTCCCACAGAAGAGACCCTTTTAAATTTTAACAGGGTTTTCATGCAATCACTGCTTTACTCATTAAATTTGTTGTTTATTTACTTATTTTTGTTTTGGTGCATTGTAACTTGTTTTAATATTTCTGAATTGTATCAACTATCTGCATTACTTACAGATAAGTGAAAAAAGGGATTCGTCATCGAAAGCACAACGAAAACTTTCTCATGCACAGATTGGATCTCCGAAATTAATTCGAGCGTCATTAAGGAGACGTTTTAGTGTGTTTACTCGAGAGCGAACCTCTACTATGTGAAACAGGAAAGCCAGGGTATACTTATGAAGTGACAGTTAATCAACAGAGATTCACTCGGATTTGAGAATTAACAGGGTCTCTCTACTTACTAGTATTAAATTACGAAGTTACACTTTCCTCACAATTCTTGAATACCACAAAGAAGGAAGGACATTCCAATTCAAAAACACTTTAAATTTCATTTGGAGAATTATAAAGTGTGAATGTTGACGAGTACATGCAAGTACGAATATTGATTCATTTTATTAATTATCTATTGTATGACATGTACATGTGCAATGAAAAGTATTTATTCTGAAAACTCATTGACAGTGTGTATTGTTATCCTTCTTATTTACATGAATATAATCTTCCTGTTTATTCTAATCTACTCTAGTTTACAATCGCCATTCATTCTGATGCCTTTACATTTATAATTTGCACACACACACACACACACACCCACACACACACACACAAATGTTTTTCTTTAGAATAATATGTATGGAAAATGTGATACACACGGAAATATTTTTTTTACGTGTTCACCTTAAGTGCAAAGCATGTCTGAATCTAGACGTTAACCTAAAATATTCTATCCACTAGCCAAGTTTTTTTCTTCAAATAAATAAATGATATGCACTATTTCAAACAATTTTATTATAATTCAAGACAAAATTTAAGGTAGTACACTAATAATGGCACTATCGCTCTTGGAACGAGCGTGGAAACGAAAACAATAGGGTAACGATGCGAAGGAGAAGAGGAGTCTATATGCGAGGGCTACAACTCGTGTACATGTACTTAAAATACAACTGATGGTAATCTCGCTCCAGCGTCCTTTTGTGGTACCTCTCGCTACCCCATTCTGTTGCTCCCACATTCTCGCTCTATAGCCCTTACGGCAATAAACCAGGTGCATGTAGCCCCATCAGTTTATCAGGAGAAAGTATGCATTTAATGTTTTATAAATACTACAAAAGGCTGTATGTAGCATGACTGCTATGTTTAATATAATAGTTTTCATAAAAGAATACATGACATTTCCACAACTCTTTATTAATTGAGAGTTTAATGAGATTTTTGCCAGTAAATTGAATTTGTGGTTTAATTTCACGGATTAAACTATAAGAACAATTCATAATACTACAGTATATAGCGTAATAATTGCTGCCGAGAAGAAATGGAACACCATCTATAAAACTTCTAAATTTGATGGACCTCCTGGTGCGTCGACCTCTCTGGAGGGATGACAATATGCATGTATGATTCTTTTGATTTCCTGCGACTGACTGTGATGCCTTCGTTTCTTAAACATGGAACACGAGTCTCCTAAAACCTTTGGTACAAGACATACAATAATTGTGGCTGCAGCTTGTGTAAGTATACTTAAGTTCTTAGAGGCGGAAAATTCAAATAAGAGATCCACAGAAATATATAAAATAAGAACAATAACGCTGAGTTTTAACAAGGAGATAAAAATCTGCTGTCTTATTGGTCTGTACTTCTTCACAATTAAAAAGAAAAGATCTTTCGGGATGCCTTTGCATTCTTCCTCCCTTTTGAACAAAGATGTGTCTGGATATTGACCATACTTGTGTATTTTCTTGCATATTTTTCTGGTATGCAGGAATATATTATCGTAAACCTTAGAAATGTCATTAAGACTGTCGAACATGTACATAAGGACCGTAAAAGAAAATATAAGGTATCCGTACGTTACCTCTGGATGGGCAAATAGTCCAGTGTATGTATACACAAACACTCCACAAATGAAGACGAAGCTATCGACAAAAATTATACTGAACATGTAATTGCTAAATGCCACAAAACAAAACGCAAAAAGACAGCATATGATTTTTAATGGGACACAGATATCTAGATCCCGCCAAGGTGCAATAACGTATGCGCGTGCTATTGTCATAATGAAACTAATCAATGGAATTCCATAAAGCAAAAGGCATAACGCTAGTTCCAAAACAGAAAACAAAACATACAGAGGTGCTATGAAAAGAAATATTCTTCCGATAAATGCTGATTTCCTCCATGCGTTAAGACTGTACTTATTCCAGCGCCTGATCTGTGTGATTACAGCAAATTTCCAAAAAGATGGATTCAGAACCATAAAAAATTGCGATAAGAAGAAACGGAATATTTTTTCATATCCATTAATAGATTCCGTTGTTTTCATGGCACCAAATTTCACTCGAACAAATGCATCAACTTTCAGAGGAGATGTGATTTTATTTTTGTTCTCAACTAATCCTTTTGCAAGAAATGTTGCCAAATCGGAGGGAACGCATGTACTTAATATGAAACACACGGCATATAGCAAACATGCTAGAAAAGGTCCCCCGAACACTCGAAGAAAATTTTTACTGCTTAACTCGTATCCCGCTAACATAGACTGAAAATCATTGGGCACACCTTTTTTTACACTTGCAACTATATCGTTGTATTGCATGAGTCCATGCAGCAGTACCTTCAGAGCGATGATTGATATACTTACGAAAAAGAAAGTGATTCTAACAATTCTGGAAGTCCAAATCGGGCATTTTACACAACAATATTTAAAAATACTCGTCACAATGGTTCCAATATGTATAGGATTGTAGAAAATCCAACTTTCCTTCTTTCCAATTAATCGAATATGACTTTCCATATCACTGCTTGGAAAGTTTTGGAGTTCATGATAATTAGATCTACCACTGTGTGTGATTTCATGGACGTATTTCAGTAACCACACTAGAATAAGAGGAAAATACATGTATAAAACCAGACCAAGAACAAATGGTAACTTCCAGCCGATTTTTCTGTATTTCAGGTATGTTCCAGAGCACTCCAAGATTCGTGTCTTCTCCAAGAAATTCCACTTCCAACGACAACATCGATAACCCATTGCTTCCAGGGGACAAATGACATTGAGGCAGAGCAAATAAAGTGCATGGCTCTTAATGAATATGCGTTCTCTGTAACACCAGTAGCTCTGATTATAATTCTCCACCATGTCGTTAACATCGCCATCTTTAGTATAAGATACAAGATAATCTGTAAGATTGGCTAGAGCTAAAGAAATCCGCTGTGTTGTCTCGTTGGCGCCATATTGGATTTGACAGTTTCCATTAACTCTTAATGGAACAGAAAAATTTTCCAGAGCGTATACATCTAAGAGACCAAGAGACCAGACCCGGTATCCTAACGGCCAGTTTAGGTATTGCCTCGAACCTTTGGGTCCAGGAAATGTCCATGTCCATTTGTTGCCTTGTATAACACATTTTGTTTCATTGATTTGATGACGGGGAACGTTCTCAAAGCGGAGCGCAAAATTTACAAGACTATATGAGTGCTGTGCAACTTCGTGAAGAAACCTTTCCTTGGTTGATGCTGACACAGAAAACCAACATGCGGAGTCTACTCCACTAGAGTATGGGTAAGTGTAGTCCCAGTATGGACAAACATCTGTATTTCCGGGAGTTACTTGTGTCCCTTCACTTGCGTCCTCTTCAGCTAAGGCTGCCTGGAGGACTACCAAACTACAAATTATGTGGTAGATTTTTTTCATAACGAATCGTATTTCTTGGTATTAAGTCAAATAATGACACTATTAACTTCCTTTTTCTAGATTCTTTAAACACTTTACTGTTCAAGTATGCGTTTCAACAGCGATAATTCGGTCGCTGATTCATTTAACGTCCAGGAAATTTTTGTTTGATACGGATGATAGCCATTATTACATCCTTTATCGAATATGGGAACTTCCCTGTAGGAAAAAAATCTAATTAGTCCCGCCTTTTACACACCCAAAATGATTTAACAAAAATGTCATATTGGAAGTACTTATATATATGACAAGTAAGGAAAAACTCACCATATTTTAAACCATTAATGAATTATTCTTCCTCAGTACAGAAATTTGAACAAGTCCCTACATTATTTATTACAAGAATCCCCTTTAAGCTACATTGACAATCCAGGAAGTTTACGACCCCAAGAGGATATTTTAAATCAAATAAGATTCGTAACACCCGAACCAATACATCAGTGTGCAATTATTTCTCTTATTTTATATATAAATCTTTCATTGCATTATAGTTTTACTAAAATTTAAATTATCCAATGAAATGCTAATCATAGATGTGTCGTAACGCCACAAATGCCCTCGCCGGCAGCCAAAATTTCAAATGCCATATTAGTTTTAAATTTGTATTCGAACTTGACCTGTATTTTCTGGTAAAATACCTGCATATGCAATTTCAACCTTTTGCATACATCCCTACAAAAGTTAGAGAGCGAAAACTGAAAATTTCTTATTTTTTCTAAGTTCAAGAGGGATAACTCTGTCAAAAATCATCGCAGCATGACCAAATTCAAACTTGACCTGCGTATTCCTATATATATATATATATATATATATATATATATATATATATATATATATATATATATATATATATATATGACGTATCTATATATCAAATTTGAGTTGATTGTGTGCAATCGTTGCCGAGATAATGAACAGAAAGTCAATGATCACGGAACAGGGCAACACTATATGCCCCCGGCCATTTTATGGCGTGGCATAACCAGAAGTCTCTGACGAGACTGTAGTTTTACTGGTTGTACTTATAAAGGAAGATAAAAGAAGCATTTGCACTTGAAACTTTGCAACAGCAATAAATAGAATAATGATCCTTTGTTTAGTCTCTTTTTGTGGCGAAATTTATTACAATCAGACTAATAAATGTAGAAGGAGTAGCCTTTTAAAACAATTTTACAAAAATTTCGATTTAAGTAACCATGGCAACATCATTCAACAAAATTAAAAAAAAACAATAACAACAATTATGTATCTTAGTGTAGTCTACTTGTATGCCAAGTTATACTGAAATCAGACAAAAAGTGTAGGAGGAGTAGCGTTTTGAAAGTATTTCAAGAAAATTTCTATTTCAGTAACCATGGCAACACTGTTCATCGAAATCCAAAACTGGTTTAAAGAATTATGTATCTGAGTGTAGTCTACTTGTGTGCCAAGTTATACTGAAATCAGACCAAAACTGTAGGAGGAGTAGCATTTTGAAAGTATTTCAAAGAAATTTCTATCTTTAGTAACCCTGGCAACACCGTTCATCGAAATCAAAAACCGATACACAGATTTATGTATCTTAATGTAGTCTACTTGTGTGCCAAGTTATATAGAAATCAAATCAAATCTGTAGGAGGAGTAACTTTTTGAAAGTACTTCCAAGAAATCTCTATTTTTAGTTACCATGGCAACACCGTTCATTGAAATCAAAAACCGATAAACAGAATTATGCATCTTAGTATAGCCTACTTGTGTGCCAAGTTATATTGATATCAGACCAAAACTGTAGGAGAAGTAGCGTTTTAAAAGTATTTCACAGAAATCTCTATTTTTAGTAACCATTGCAACACCGTTCATCGAATTCAAAAACCGATATACAGAATTATGTATCCGAATTATGTATAGTGTAGTCTACTTATGTGCCAAGTTATATTGAAATCAGACCAAAACTGTAGGAGGAGTAGCGTTTTGAAATTTGTTTACAGACGGACAGACAGATAGACATACGTACGGACGACGGACACCTTACTATCGCAAAAGCTCTTCTGGTTTCTGACCAGTAGAACTAAAAAAAATCGAACTCGGAAATCTTCATATCTTCTGATTGGTCATCTTCAAAATTGGTTTGTAAAAAATCACTCTGAATATACACATACGTACTCTAAGGTTGATATGCAGGATGCCGAAGTTCCTAATAGACAAAATTTATATAGTCTTTAGAAACCACGTTTTCCAACAATCTTTTGGAATTTCAATGACCAATAATTGTGCTCCTTTATTAGTCGACCCCTTTTTTATATTCCTTTGAAGAGGCATTTATTAAAAAACTTCTACATGAGAAGAAAACTCTTGCTGTAGCCTTCAAATCGTCATTTAGATATGTCGATGACGTTTTTTCAATGAACAATAGTTACTTCCATTCATATGTCGACTCGATATATCCCAGTGAAATCGAAATAATAGACACCAGAGTAATATTTTTACTATCATCTTCATATGGTGTTTATGTCAGCCAACTTATTTGACACTCAGGAGCATATTCTGAATACGATCAATTTTTAAACCGAGGCAGGCTACTGACAAGTTGATGTTACAGGGATTTCAACAACCTTATTAAAAGTCAGCGTATAAATTTCGTAAATTCTATGGTCGTTATAATGACCTTGTTAGCAAATACAACCTATCATTGGGTCGTATTTTGATTGACGTATTTAAAACCATTTTTTTGAATATATTTTGTTATATAAATAGTATACAAATGGTTTGAACACAAGTTCTTGAACTTGTGTGCAAATCATTTGTATACTGTTTATACAATAAAATTACAATATAATTAATTGAATCACAGTCTCACACTAAAAATTTCAAACCAATTGTAAGGTCTTTGTTTTTATACTAAATTTGATTACAGATTTTCCCGTCTACCTGTCAATATATAGGGCTCACGACGGATGGGACCGGTCGGCAGGGGATGCTTACACCTCCTAGGCACCTGATCCAACCTCTGAAATTTCCAGGGGCCCGTGTTTTATGCCCTGTTTACAGATTTGTATTGTTTGTAGGGTTTTGGAGATCGATCACTGTTCGTTGTCTTCACCTATTTCATTCTTTATGAAAGAAGCGAACCCCCGTTGAATAAGTATCTGATAAACTGCAACATAAAGAGCTGTAGCTGGTAATGGTAATTATACAACATAATATTCTGTGATTTAGGTAAGAACTAAAGAAGCAATTTTGAATTAACACAAAGAAACCTTTTTGAAAACCAAATAAAACAAGATGTGTTTGTGAAACACTGATGCCCCAGTATGGCAGCTTATTGCAAAGGTTAAAGTTTCTCAATCTCCAAGGTCAAGAGATCAAAAATATTGTTACTTAAAGAAAGGACCTGTGTCAATGGATATGCCTAGTAAATATGAAAGCCCAAGCACCAATCATTCAAAAGTTGTGGTCAAGTTTCAAACTCCAAGGTCAAGGGGTCGAAAATAATCTTATGCAGGTGAAGACCTTGTCATAAGAAATATACATTGCAAAATATAAATGCCCAACTGTTCAAAAGTTACGGCAACGGTTTAAGTTTTTCAAAAGTAGGTAAACCTCCAAGATCAAGGTCAAAACTGTTGGTATCCCAAGGAAGGCCTTGTCACCAGGAATATACTTATGAAGTACTATCTGTTCAAAATTATGGCCAAGGTTTAAGTTTTCTAAAAGTGGATCAAACTCTAAGGTCAAGGTCAAAATATTTACACTCATGGAAAGGTCTTGTCACAATGAATATACATGTGAAACATGAGAGCCGAAGCACCAACTGTTCAAAACTTATGGCTAATGTTAAAGATGGGTAAATTTTTATATGAAATATGAAATCCATAGCTCCAACCATCAAAAGTTATGGGCAATGTTAAAAATTTTGCTGACAAACAGACAGACGGACGGACAGGGCAAAAACTGTATACCCACGAATCTTCAATTACGGGAACATAAAAAGTATCGTCAACTTAAAATGAGATACAAGTTCATGAATATGATTGACAAAGTATTAGTCATAAACAAATAATTATAAAGGATATTAGTCGAAATCTTCAGATCTTAATACAGTATATTGAATCTCTGTTGAATTTAAATACAGATTTCTAATTGAAGAAACAACAAATGAAGTGAGCTGCTTCGGTAACTTTTTATTGCCGAGGAAATATTTCTTAAAACAAAATTATTTGGAGGAAGTCTTAGCGAGACAAGGCCTATCAAGAGTACTTAACTACCTAGTACGTGCTTATCTTCATTACTGTTGATTACCAAGCAAGATAGTCATCACATCCGTGAAGCCGTAATCCCTTGCAATACCTACTGCAGATTTGTTCATTTTACATAATGCCATACTATTACATCCTGATTTTAACATATTTTCAATTACTTTAATGTGATCGACTCCTGGTCCATATTTCGGCTTTGGAACACATTTGGTATTACATGAATACTGCAGCATAAACATGTAACCTTTCATCAGCAATTCTCTTTCAAACATGTATGCTAACTCAATATTTTTAATGAGATAAAGATTTCCTCTGCTTGCTGCTAGATGAAGTCCTGTATATCCAAAAGTATCAGTCGTGTTAACATTAACTCCTAACTGAAGAAGAATATTCGTGAATTGACAATTACCACTAGCGGATGAATAATGAATTGGGTACCGGCCGTTAATATCCGGAAAGTCAAAGACAGAACCATGTTGAATCAGCAGTTCGGCAACATCAAAATGTCCGGCAATACAAGCCTCGTGTATTGGCAAGTTACCCTGCTTGTCAAACGCGTTAACGTCGCCTCCAAATTCCAAAAGAAGCAGCACTATTTCCAGACAAACTTGTCGGCAGGCCAGATGCAGAGGTAGCAATCCTTGTCTCGTTTCGTTGTTGGGATCGGTGCCGTTTTCCAATAAAAAATTTGTCAAGGAGATACTTTTTCTTGATATGGCAACTTCAAGTAACGAGAAGTCATTAAATGGTATATCAACGATTTGTTGAATCGGTCTCCGACCTAATGTTTCAATGTCTCCCATACGCGCAGCCACATGGACATCCGTAAGTAATGACGTACATACGACAGCAAACTTGGTGTCATAGAATATAAAGCCTTGTATAGCTGGGGCTGTAGGTAATTTTATACTGCGATTTTTAAGCACAGAAAGGTTCAAATTTTGCAATACTACATGTCTACACAAATTTTGCAGTTTTGGTACCTTTCTTAACAATTCATGTGGTTCCCTTGCTGCAAGAACAATCTCTTCTCGACTACATTTTAAAATGTACATGTCTTCTAAAGACTTTTCCAAAGCCCCAAAGAAGCTGTTCATCTCACTAGTATCCTTTTGTTTGTGCTTTAAGTACTCTTTTGTTTTCCTATAGAATCCCAAGGGAAAGCTTTCAAAATATCTATAGAAATTTAGGAAAATAATGAAAGCGATCTCTAAATAATTTTTTGACAAGGCAACTTCGTAGGCAGATTGGACTGCTTCTTCTTTAAGGCAGTTAGATTTTGCTCCTTGGTGAATAAGTACAGAAGCTGCCAAGATGTTTCCGTTTTGTAAAGCAATGTGAAGCGCGGTATACCCTCTAGCATCTGATATATTGATGTCAGCTCCTTTTTCTAACAACACACTTAGTATTTTTAAGGATTGTGAATATTCCTCTTCACTATTGGCGTCACATGAGATCAGAGATTTTCCTGCACATATCATTAATGGAGTTCGAGATGTCCCATTTTCGATAGCATTGACATTTGCCTTACATTGCAGCAGAGCTTCAGTTACGTTTACAAGCGAGTTTTGAACAGCGATATGCAGAGGCGTTCTATTTTTCTCATCTACATCATTGACATCAGCTCCTAAACTTGCAAGTTCATATACTGTTGTCTCATCATCACGACCACCATGAGCACAGCCATGTAACAATAACTTTGATTGGTTTATATCAGCACCTAATTTTATCAGCTTCCTGATTAATGGGATTTGACCAGTTTTTGATGCAAAATACATTGCAGAACGACCAAACCTGTCTGTGGTGCTGACATCGAGGTCGGAACTTGTCATAACAGCATCGATAACTTCACTGACCTTGAGATCTATGGCCAAGGTCAAGGCTGTATGACCAATCAGGACTCTGTTTACAAGGTCACCATTCTTTGAGATGATTTCCAGAACGGATTTAGTTTCCCTCTTTTTTATCGCATCATGGAGATTATTTAAAACATCATACGAGTCAAGGCATTTTTCATTCTACAAGGAAAGGATAGAGTAGGATGGATCAAAAGTAGATCAACAGAAGAAAAAAACCCCAACAAAACATACAAATGCTATTAATGAAGAATACATGTACCAGCATTATATGCATTTTCCCCGCTTATCATGTTACATAATTTGTGTAAGGAAATTACCCTCTTATCTGAGTAATTCATAAATCTCAATTGGTCAACGCTAGCAAGTGTAAATGTTAAAGTGGAAAATAACTCATCTTGAAATAAATTTGATTCATATGAATTAAGAGCTAATTCAATTGGATGCAATTTTCAAATATGTTAAAAACAAAATGAGATATATTGAAAATGCATACTTGTTCAAATACTGCAAGTTGCTTTTCCTTGGTGCTTGGATTATTTCCTTCCTTGGCTGGTCCACTATTATTTTGCCAAACCTGATTCGTTATCATTTGCTGTATACTTGTTGCTATAAATGATGCACAGCTAGTATATAGTCTAATAGTATATATACATGAAGGAAATCCTTTTACATTTCCGGATTGCTGTACTTTACTTTTCACATTTCTTTAAAGTCTAATTAACAGGCTTTTTTTTGTAGTATACTGACATGTGTATGAATCATATAACTAACATTTTATGCGCCAACAATACTTTCATTCAACTCTGTTGGTAAAACAGTAAACAATTTAAAGTGATAATTTTCGATAAACTATAGGCCCACGGAAAGATTTCAGGATGGAGGAAAGCTATTCTGTACATTTATTATCTCGTCAAGCACATACATCCCCCCTTCAAATAAAACAAAACAAAAGAAATGTCTACTAGGAAATAAAGAAACTTCTCAGAGATCCTCCAGCTAGGAAATTTGTATAACAGTTCAGTTCAGCTTTACAGCTCATCAGGCTCCGGGATCATGAAACTGTCTTAAATTTAAGTCAGACTTTTGACTTAAATTTAAGATTTAGACTTAGCTAAGATCGCTTACTTAAGTGGATCACAAAACGATCTTAGCAAAAACTTAGTTAAGATTTGTCTTAGTTAAAAAACCCTTTATTGTCATAGTAACTCACGCGGTGTTTAGAGCGTATACGGTAAATGTGGAACTCTCCAATGTTTTGGAGATACAATTTTCGTCTGCTTACATTAGTTACGCAATGGATGCAGAAACTCCCAAAAAACGATCAAGAAAAAGTAACTGGGACCCCAGGGACGAGATTACATTAGTGGAGGAGGTACAGAAGAGGGAGAAGGTACTCTTCGGAAAATTAGACGGGTCAGGGAGGACTTCTGTTGATAAGACAAAGGCCTGGAAAGAGGTCACTGACCTAGTCAATGCGTAAGTGTTGACATATCACATTTTCCCCAAATCATTATACATTGCCACAAAATAAAAAATTGATGAAAACTAATTGAAAAGAAAACCAATGATGTCTTAAAAATCTACTAGACTGTGGCAGTTTCAACGGTGTTCATACTATCAGTAATGCAGCTATATATAGGCCTAGTTGTGATTATACGAAAGCACAACCACTAACGAACTTAAAAACTCGGACTGTGCATTATAACAGCTGATTTTAAGCAAATAACTCATGCATATACAAGATACAGTAGTCTCAAGATTTTAAAAATATTGTATGCAATTTAGTAGAAAAGCAAAATACACAGAAGGGGAAACCCGAAAGCTATAAATAGATATTCCAAAGTATCTACATGAGTACATGTATGTATTCTTTATTATGGAAAATAAAATATTAAAAATTAACCACAACTGGTTAACAGAAATATTAAATTCTTATAGTTTGTTAAATAGATTCATGTTTTTTTTTTCCGCAGTGGAAGTACATTTAGTTCCTCCAGAGATGTGAATGAAATAAAGAAGAAATACCAGAACATCAAACAGAAAGGTATGATGCTCTTCTGAGAATTTATAAGTACATAAAAATATTAGATGTACTGTGTTAAGATATTTAAGTTTATAAGTAATAATTAAAATAATATTGATTATATAACTGTGCATGCAGCCCAAGAGATTTTAAGATTAAACAAATTTTCTCCCTCCCCCCCTCCAAAAAAAAAAGAATAATAAAAAATAAAAAAAAAATAAATGAATAAAGAAAATAAAAGCATGGGAATTTTTCAATATTTCTTTCAATTTAATGTCTGATTAGGAAATTCTTATTGTGTAAAATGTTAATATAGAATCTGAAAAATGTTTCCCAGAAACTTTAAATTAACAAAACTTCATATATAAACTTCTTATAATGTGTTGTGCCTTTGCCAATTATTGTAATTGTGTTTGTGCCAATAAATATTTGTATTTATTTGTATATTTCTAAAACATTACAAAAAATTTTTATTGAACTGAAAGTTAAACATTTTCGCATTTTTCACCAAATTATGTGTCTTGGTCAAACATAATGTTGTTTATCTAAATAGATATCAATTCTTTAGTCATAGAGGCACCTATTTAAGCAAATTAAGATACATGTATTTGAATTTTGGAAGGAAGAATTTTGTTTGTGTTATTTATCCTCAAAGCTGTGTTAATAAATGATGTCAATACTATAAATTTTATAAATGGGATCAACATTTATTTTCACTACAAAATGTCGTGAATTAAAAACTTTGAAAATTGTTGTCACGCGCAAAATCCCCCATGGGAATTTTCAAAAGTTGGCATGTATGGATTGTCTATATCTTTATTGTAGCAAAAGAAAAGAGAAGTGCTATTTTAAACCCTAAGACTGGGGGAGGGAAAAAACCATCATCCCCGAATGTTAGTGAACAGTTGTTGTTGGACAACTTGGAAGGCAGACCAAGTCTATGTGGCCTTCCTAGTGGAATAGACACTGCAACTGGTAATGAATAATAATAATAAATGAATAAGTTTTTAATGCACAATAACATTAATGATTAATTTTATTTAGTGTATGGTGAACTATTAAAGTATATTAAAAAAAGATGAATTTTTAGATAATAGTAAATGGGGTTTATTTCAGTTTGTTGGTCTTATTGTGATGAATACTATGTCATTGTAATGCATCAAGGGGTATATTGATATTTCAGTAGTGTGATTTTTAAGTACTGTTTCTTGTTTATTCTGTATTGTTGTATTATATGTAATATTTTTATATAGTCAGAAAATAGCTCTTCAGAGCTAATGTTTTCTGTTTGATTTACCCAACTTTAAATAAATATTATCTTATCTTATCTCTTATGAATTTTACATGGATAATTTTTGTTGATAGAGTCATCAATAAAGAAAAATTATGAATAAAAAAAATCAGATCAATTAATTATCAACAATCTATTAAAAATATGAATTTGAATGTATATTCAAAAAATTATGTAAATTTTTATGCCTCACTGCAGGGGCATTATGACACAACAAGTTAAATTAAAAAAAAAAATCATTCTTGCAGAATCAGTTGTGGATTTCTTGGATGACAACCATGCCTTGCATGAATTTGATTTGACTAGTGAGACCACTCAGCTTGAGCATTTGTTACCACAAACACAGCCTCTGCCCTCCACATCTACCACTTCATCAACAGAGCTTCATTTGAAAGTTACACCAGAAATGCTTCTTCAAGAAGAACTAATCAACATCAAAGAAAGAAGAAAGCTTATAAAAGAACAACAACAGCTTGTCCATCTTCAGAAACAGCATGTAATGTTAAAAATTAAACAGAAAGATCCCTTTTTCAATTTCGAACACCTTATGAATGAAATGTAAATTTTTTTGAATACGTACTAACAAATACACTGGTTTTTGCATGTGCGATGTGCCTGACATCACAACAGATGTATCAACATCCATGTATTACAAAGCTGCAATGCATGCCTTTAGCTATTTGTATTACTGTAATGGGAGCAGTAATGCTTGGGTGTTGATACATTTGTTGTGACGTATAACATCATAGTTAATTCTTATGAGCTTTTCTGATCACAATTTGTCTGGCGTCAGTCTGTCTATATCTGTCTGTAAACTTTTAACTTTTATTTTGCCTTCTTCTTTCCTGTCCTCTGGCTGATAATTAAGTGTCTCTGTGGTCAAATTAAATTTATTAAGTATGTAAAATGTATTCTTTACACATTGATAACATCCATCCAATTATTCTCATACTGTATGTGTATTTCCAAACATTATGACATCATTATGATATTTTGTATCTACGTACATGCTATAATTGGTTTCTCATAAGTATGTGCATTTGCTATAATAATTCACTGAATGTTTTATTCTTCTTTGTAGAATTTAGGATCTATGACTTTGCATTATTAAATTTGTTTAACACATTAATAGCAATCAATATATTGATAAAATTTTTGACAAGTGGCATTGTATTACTGTACTACTGTTATAACAATTAACTGCAGTATAATCACTAGTACTGGTAAAAAAGGGTTTTCTTGTGGATATGTATAAAAGAGTATCTTCTGCATCAATAATGATCATGTCATTATTCTAGTTGTAGTTTTTGTTACAAAATTTATCAATACCTAATGTATTTTAACTCTACACTGCTTGCACGCTGTATCAATTTCATAATTCAGTGTGATTGTAAGAATAAAAGTATACCATAGAATCAGACCTCATTAGTATGCAGTTTATAGAGGTTCCTAATTTATGAATGATAGTGACTGTATACTTGCATACATTTAAACTTTTCATGGCATTTTTCAAATATTTATGCCTTACCACCTGCAGTAAAAATTTCTAAAAAGTTAAAAGTAGAGAACTGCATGTATCTTTAGTTCTTTACCATTCATCTTTATTATATGCATTTCTTCTCTCTCTGATGTTGCAATACTATAAATACTATATTTGTACTTTTTTGGATTTACAGACAAATTGTATACATACTAAATCCATCATTTACTGCTTTGAAATATTGGTAATTCTTGTTGTTGATTCAGTCCACTCTTTTTGTTCAAATTACATTTTAGTATCTATGATGTATATGTTTTTGTTTTTCTTGACAATTTTCTTTAAAATTTGCTTCTATCAAATGGAAAGAAAAACTGAGTCTTATACAATAAGCCATATGTTATATCAATTCAGCTTTTGATTCAAGTATCAAAGTTTAAAAAAAGCAATAAGACATATTCAGTGTTTTCTAAAATCCTTCATTGAGCATTGATATCACTGACAATCAACTAACATGATATATGTATAATAAAATTCACAATTTTCCAGTTTGTTTTTTTTAATTTAACAGATGTTGTACATGTTTATAAATACAGTATAATTAATTCCCATCATTTTCTGTTCTTTGAAATTGTTAAATCTTTAGTGGTATATTTTCTAAAAGTTGTTATTTTAAGAAAAAATATACAAGTTATTATCACTGAGTACAATTCCATATACTGTACATATGTCAGAAACAAATGGGAATATTGAATAAGCTTTAATTTGCTATTAATTGTTATCATTTATCTTGTAATTTTTTTATTTGAACATCTTTCATATAATTATTATTGTTTTGTTTGGATGACAATTTAACTTTAAAAAATGCCCATACACATTGATAGTCAAAACAATATGACAATGGTGATGCTTTAGGTTATGAAAAAAACATAAGGTGCTTATCAATACATTGCAAATTATCCCATTTTAAAGTCAAGAGTTGTTTCCCTTTATGCAGTCATGCATAAGCATGCATGTGCTAAAAAAAAATTGCACTGAATTTAATTAGAATATTTCTCTTATTGAAATATAAAATAATTAAAGTACATTTAATGCATTTGAAATATAAAATAAAGTACAATGCATTGGTGCATGTTAATTGTAAATTGAACTTCATCATGCATCCATTTAGAAACTGTTTAACTAAATTGTTATGAAATAGACACAACAATGAAGGATAAACTTTACAAACTAATATGCTGCATATACACGAATAATCAGATTGATTTGGGCCAATTTTTTTTTTCATAATTCAGTTCAAAATGCAAGATTATTAATTAACTTCATGAAAATCAAATTTTTTTTACATTATTAAGTTACACATTTTTTCCCTCATGTGTCATTTGTTGGTAGTTGATATTTTACTGCATTGTTAATGTTGAAGGAAAGTTAAGCAATCATATTATTATCATTGCTTTCATTGCAATAAATTTGTTTTATTTTCATTATAAGTATCTTGTGTCTCATAGAATTACTCAGAGTGTCACAAAAAAAAAAAGAAAAAGAAAAATACTACACTGCAAGACAATCCATATTGACACTTGCTGCTTTCAAGAAATATGAGATGAGATATAGAGAGGGAATAATTTTTATGCCCTATAATAAAATATTTAGGAGTATATAGAATATGTCTGACTGGCTGTGTCGCCAAAAATTTTAACTTCATAACTTATGAATGGAGGTGGTATGGTTTTCATATTTAAGATGAATATTCATTATAACAAGACCTTTCTTTCATGTATGACCTCATGACCTTGACTTTTAAGTGTGACCTATCTTTAATAAAAATAACCCACCTCGGCTATAACTTCTGAAGGCTGGTGATACATGTAGCTAGCTAGGGCTTTCATGATTCACACATGAATTATTTTTACAAGACCTTTCTTTGGGTATCAGCACTTTTGAATTCATGACCTTGACCTTTGAGTTTGACTTACTTTAACCTCAGCCTTAAGCTGCTTAAAGGGGGCTCCAGTCTTCATAAATCTTATATAATAGGAACCACAAATAAAGGGAAATTTCCTTATTATAACTACATGTAAATAACGGAATATAATATACTGGTAGAACTATTAAGGTAAATATATTTCATATACTGGTAGTTGTAATAATTGCTAAAACGAACACAGAATATTACTATTAATAATAATGATTTATCACACTGACAGATACATACTGAAATGTAATGGTATGTTTGTAACCTTACAACAATACCAATGATGTACTAGGTACAGAGAGTGATACAACAGTGCACTGTGTGATTTAACTGATATTGGGAGAAAACATTAAATAAACTGCAAGCAGTATAAATTTATAAATGACTTCTGCTTTGTGATTATGACTGTATATTATGTAAGAACTGAACAAGTTATAAATTATTATTCTTTCCTAGTTTCTCATGAATTAAGAAGAGAATGGCCTGAGATATTAATTAGTAATCAAAACATTGTCTGGCAATGAGTTCTCTGTATCCAAAACCATTGTTGTTACCGTGATTGATCTCATCCACATCTGGGCCGGCTATGATTAGGTCACGTGGGTCAAGGGACACAATATCTTGCCTCAGGATCCCTATGTTATGCAGGACAACACAGGTTATCACATACTGACAGGCTCTTTCTGGGCTTGTTCTAAGGTCAATGGAAAGGCAAGGGAATCTTCTCTTTAGTATGCCGTATGTCTGCTCGATAAGGACTCGTGTTCTACACAGTGCACTGTTGTATTGCTCTCTGTACCTGACATCATTGGTATTGTTGTAAGGCGTCATTAGATATGTCCGACAAGGGTACCCGGAGTCCCCCAAAAGTATACCATTATGCTGACCTGAAAAATCATGAAATTAATATATTAAAAAAAAAATAAATTCAGAATTACTAAAAGGTCTGGAAAGCAAAATGACGAAGATTTCAGTATGATTCAGCAGATGTTGAAAATATTTTAACTACATGTACATATACTAAAACTCAAATTGCGTTTATTGTCTGGCCTTTATGGGCCATATGACTTTATCATTTGAAAAAAAAATACCTTAAATCTACTTTATGTTAGTACATATAATTACTGATAAACATTACAGTTTTTTTCCTGTTCCTTATTTAGTTTTGTTTTATTTGCCATATTTTTCTTATACTTATTACATATATATCTTCAGGGAGGTATAGGAATATCACAGTTAAGTAATAATATTCCATCAAAATTCAGTTAAAATTAACTGCATGTGATATTATTTACCATTCTCAAACTGCTGACAGAGAACACTTTCTCGGAAAACCCTTGAATCATGACAAGATCCTGGCCACTTGGCAACACAGTTGGTCACCATAAAATTAGCATCACAGGTCATCTGAAATATGATCAAATTAAACATTAATTTATTGTTTGTAAATTTAATTTTCATAATACATGCATGTTATTTATCTTTAAAGTCAATGATTGTGATGGATTCACATATAAGCGGATTTATTGCCTACTTTATTTCTAAATTTAAATCATTGAAAGCTTATTTAGCTCTTTTAATGTTTTTTTTTTAAATTTAAAATCATTTTTAATCAAAAAACAATTACCATGACATTTAAAGAATGATATCCTTTTCTATTCACATAATCAGGCTCATTTTCAGTAGGAGTTTGGATGCAGATAAAAGTACCATCAACACATCCCAAGACACCAGGGAACCCTACAATAAATAGATTTCATAGATTAATATTTTCATCAGGCCAATAGCAGCAAATATCATAAGTTTTCAATTTGTTTGTGTGAGTAAATATATATACCTTTTGATGATATCTGATTCCCTTTTTATTTTTAAAATCATACAGAAGTTATAGTTATGAACATATCAAAATAGGATTAATTATTTACTGAACATGATAATAAAGTTATGAAGAGTAGAATAGTAAAGATTTCAATGTACAATATGACTGATTTTGGAGTTACCCCCCACCCACCCCCCTTTTCTGTCACATATTGTATATATACATGTAATTTAGTAACACTACACACTCACTAAAACACACATATATATAATGATTACAATTGATAATGTTCGAGGGATCCTTATTTTTTTCTTAGATGTAAGAAATACATAAATGCAT